GGGATTCCTAAACTTTTAGGGTAATGTAACACTCACGAAATTCATTTTATTTTATGGAACCACATATCAAACGATTACAAATCAAAGACAATTATTCAATTAAATAAAATTTAAATAAACCTAGCAAGCTGACAGCATAGCAAAGTGGCGAAGCAATCAGCTTTGTAGCGGTTTCTAACGGTTGCCGTTGAGCAATCAGTTTCAAAATAGGAGGTTCAGATGCCTGGGTGATCAGTAATCGATTGCTGAAAACAGAATTTGAAAATTCGAAACCGTTCTCGAGATAATCGTGGGACAGACGGACAGACGGACAGACATCGTGAAATCAATAAGTGACTTCGCAAGCTTCGCTACTTAATAAGAAGAACACTTTCGTTGGAAACATTTTAAAAGTTTCACTTTTATCTAAATCTAAGTGAAATATTTTAAATAAAGTATCGCGAACCCTGAGGTTCATCGGAACCCAATCTAGTGTCTGATGGCACCGTGGCGCAGTGGCTTAGCGATGAGTTGCAGCGCTGAGGGCCGCGGGTTCGAATCCCGCACGAATAAAATATTTGTATGACATACAAATAATTATTCCGGGTTTGGATGTTTGTCCTTGTGAAATTTATGTATGTAAACTGGCCGCACAATACAGGAGAAAATTAACTTAAAATGGGGATAACGTTTAAAAAAAATATCTGGTATAAAGAGGCAGTAATTACAGGCTGACAGAGACTAGCAGAGGATAAATGTCTTTGTCACCATCGGGACTGGTTAATGTTCCTGGAAATTGAAATATCATTATTAAAACATATGACCATCGTAAGTTTTTGTTTATAGGATAAGGGTGACAAACGAGCACACAGTCTACCTGATGTTAAGTGCTGTGAACCATAGACATCTACATCTGTCCTCGATTATGAATCAAAATGCCGATGCGTTGTCACCCGTGAGGACTAAGATGGAATGCCTCGTTCCCAGTCAAAAGGGTTCCTGGTTCTCTACATTCACCATACGAAACACAGCAGCGTTAAGCTGCTATTTTACGCTGGTATTCTGTGAGAGCGTGGTCCTTCCCCGGTCGAGCCGACCCATTCGTGCTACAACTATACCAGCAATATAGCTGCAAAAATAATGCTAAATGCTAAATGCTAAAATAGCAGCTTAACACTGCTGTGTTTCGTGTGGTGAGTGTAGAGAACCGGAGACCCTTTTTACTGGAAATGAGAATTCCATCTTAGTCCTCACGGGTGACAACGCATCTGCATTTTGATTCTTTATTGAGAATAGATGTAGATGTCTATGGGTCACAGCAACCACTTACCATCAGGTGGACTGTGTGCTCGTTTGTCACCGTATCCTATAATAAAAAATTTAAAAAATTTTTAGAGTTAGTAAAAATTACTAAGCCCACATCCACTCAATATAATAAAATGATGTGTCCTACCTAGTTTGAAGACCACCTCACGCCCTCTCTCAATTGCGTGCACTATCCCAGTCACCACTAATCCCAACACCACTACACTAGGAAAAACACACCGCCGACGATGATGCGACGGTAAGCATAGCGGTCAGCCACCGCAGAATCTACTTCACCTGAAGAAACACGTGTCGTATTATCGTCGGTGGTATGTCTTTCCTAGTGTAGCGGTGCTGGGAGTAGTGGTGACAGGGATAGTGCACGCAATTGAGAGAGGGCGGGAGGTGCTCTTCATACTAGGTAAGACACGTCATTTTATTTGACGGGGATTGAGCGGATGTGGGCTTAGTAATTTTTACTATGTTTAGTGTAATTATTATTTACAAGAGAATATTTGCAGTATGGATAGCACGATGGATAGACATTCCTTATCTTATTCGTCAGTGCAATATCTAAAACAGTTTTAACAAGCAAATTCTAATAAAAATGTAATCTAATAAAATATTATAATTAAATCAATTCAACTGAAATGATTAAGTCAAGCCTCAACGTAATGGCAAAAAGGTTACCGATAACGTGGCAATGGCGACGACAGAATGGCAGACAATGGCGCGAGCGGGACAAATAATGGCCGACACTGGCAAAGGTGCGTAATAGATCGCAGTCGACGGATTTTGGCGCAATGCGGAGATTTTACATCGAACCTAATATCTTTCGATTGGTCTACATATGGATTTTATATACATAATACCTATTATAACGGATTTTATAATAGAGTAAAGGACTCGCACAGTGACCATTTTTTAATGAAATTAATACCTTAGTTGTTCCAACATAATTCATTTTGGATAATACTTATGTATTGTAATGTAACAAACTATCTTAATAAAAGTTGCAGCCTATTTACGTCCCACTGCTGGGCTTTTTGAGAGGGTTTTAGGGCAAGGAATTGCCCGCCGCGCTGCCCCAATGCGTGCTGGCGAACTTCACATGTCATCGAAATATTTTTTTTCTTATTTCTCAGAAATTCAGGTTTCCTCACGATGTTTTCCTTCACCGCCGAGCACGTGGTAAATCAGCACTTAAAATTGCAATTAACAATTTCATTTGTGCCGGTGGGGATCGAACTCGGGTTGCTCGAGTACTGTGAAGCTTACAGCGAGTGCTAACCATCAAAGCTACCACGTCTCTATTTTAATACCTATGACAAAATTAGTGATATGGCATAATTTTACGCGGCAAAATCCGTAAAAGTAGTTGTTTTTTTCCTAAATATTTTATAAAGGTATTTTGCAAAAGTTCAAATATCGATTCGATCGCGGATCGGAATCGAAACTGGGTTGCTCGCGTACTGTAAATTTTACGGCAACGGCTTATCTCTTGCGTCACCCCGGCTCATGTCTAGCATTATTTATTTAAATTTAATATTCAGAGACCGAGACAAAAGCGTTTACACAATGGTGCCTCACAAAATAACCTCTTATGATAAAACAATCCTCGAACGTTCAGACAAAAGGGAGATTTCGCACCCTTCGTTCGGGCCATTAGACTAGTTGGCACCTCCCGTCAAGGTCAAACCTCTTATATTCAGCCCGGGCTGCCAGTAACAAGTGGCGAATACGCGATGTAAGGATAATTGAGATTCGGTTGCGCTCTTCTTATTTAAAAACTTAAATATTTCTTTTCTTTTTGTTGGCTAAATCTTTTTCTTACTGCCTATTTTTATGAAATTATTTTACGTACTATTTTAACTATGTAGTGGCGGTTTAAAAATATACACTACCCCAGTTCGTCCCGTGGGTGTCGTAAGAGGTGACAAAGGGAAACTGTTTTAACAGTGGTAGAGCCAGGCGGCAGCTTTTGCTGTCGCACGGATGGGCCGGCTCGAACCGGGGTGGTACCACGACCTCACAGAATACCAGCGTGAAGTAGAGGTTTACCTCTGCGTTTCGTTTGGTGAGTGCAGGTGGCCGGAGGCCCTTTTTACTGGAAATGAGGCATTCCATCTTAGTCCTCACGGGTGACAACGCATCTGCATTTTGATTCGCAAACGAGGATAGATGTAGATGTCTATGGGCCGCAGCAACCATTTACCATCAGGTGGACTGTGTGCTCGTTTGTCACCCTTATCCTATAAAAAAAATAAACAGGCAATCTATGTGGGAGAGTGGTTCACTAGTAGACTTTTATAAGCTGTAATTGATGAATGACGATGAATGGGCTGGCCCCGCACACATAGGCTTATTTTAACGTGGTAGAGCCACGCTGCAGCTATATTATGGTTGCAGAACGAAAGGGTTGGCTCGACCGTGGTGGTACCACGCTCTCACAGAATACCAGCGTAAAATAGCAGCTGCATGCTGCTGTATTTCGTATGATGAGTGTATCTTTCTACAAGGCATTTTGTCTTAGTTCTCAGCGGCGACTACGCGTTATTTATTTATTTATTTATACTTTATTGCACAACACCTTAACAAAAAGGATTACAAACGGCGGACCTAATGCCTTTTGACATTCTCTCCCAGTCAATCCGGGACGTGTGGAATTTTTTTTATAGGTGGTTAAGTGTTGAACGTACTCTGTTGGCTACCATGCGCTAGCACCATGCACCGCTGCACATATTTTGTTCGCAGTGCTTTTCTAGTTCGTAGCACATTTACTTTATTGTACTTTATTAGTTACAACGCCATCTATCGGAAACTTGAGATTATTTTTAATTTTTTTCTTTAAAAGAGGTCAGTACGAGCAATTTATGACTGGAATTGTAAAGAGAAAAATTTTAAGAAATAAATTTGCATCTCAATATATTTATAAAAATGTAATGTATGTACATAAAAACATGTACAGAACAAATAGCTTTGATAAAGATAAGGATGTTGTTTACTTAATGTTTAGTGTTTAAAGTTTATTTAAACACTAGGAACCAACATTAGCTTGTAATGTCTGTTACTAGACTCCACAGAATTAGTAAATCGTTAATAATGTCCCTTACATTGTCAAACAACAAACTCTCAGAAAATGTTCAGTTTGTCAATCAAATTCATACAAAAATTGTACAATATTAGTAAATATATATAACATGTTTAAAAAATATAATCCCGCTGGAATTCTCGCTCGTTCTTGCCAGGAGGTATATTCCGAACCAGTAGTAAAAATACTTTCAATAAGTGGGATGCGGGAAGTAGACTGTGTAAGAAACTCCGAAGGAGGTGCAGTTATAGCCGAAATAAGAATTTTTAATTTTTTGGTTTTTGGCCATTTTGACCCACTATGAGTGTAATGAGAACTTTTTGCCCCTATTCAACCATGACCCCTATGACATCCTCTCCATGATAGGCTATTCAAACTGACTATTCCTAAAGTTCGAGTCGCTCTCCAACTCATTTCTAGTTTTTACTTCTAATTACTTCCAATAAGTGTTATGTAATAATCTCTATTGAATAAAAATTATTCTATTCTATTCTATTCTGGCATATTCCAAGGTCACTTCATACTACACGCACGGGAAAGACGCCGTGGAAACTCTTATACCACCACCAACTACTAAAAGCTACACAACGCTATACAATACACTAATAAATGATTTCTATTCCAGGAGAACGACTGATACAATACGCATCGGAGAACCTGGTGACGGAGATCCTGATCCACCCCCAGATGAACACGCTGATGCAGTGCATGCGCAACTTGCTCAGCTCCTTCACACGACACAGGCACCTCGTGCACGCCGGCTACACGTTCGCCGGGAACGGCTCCTGGATTATGCAGGTATGAACCTTATCGATTAGGTGTAGACTTTAGTCACGGCGCTCCCTTTGACAATGGTGTTCCCTACTAGAAAAGGGACATCTGCCGTTACGGGCAGGGGCCCAGAACACCCAGCAATATAACCCTTGAGGAGGACACTAACTCGGAAGTGGTCCCTAAACATCGTGATAGCACTTCGAGGGTGCTGGGGCCTGTAAGTACTCAGCCCGGGATGTGCTTTAATAAAGCAAAGCGAGAGAGAGGCGCTGGTTGCGTTCTGAACGAAGACCCCGAAACCCCTCACATACGCTGATGGTGACCACCGTGGAGTTTTAACCAGTAGGAGTCGAACACAACCTTTCTGTTGCCCTAGCAGCCGAAGGTATCCATGAGAAATTCCTCACAATAAATAAAAGACGACTCGCTAGCTCTCGGCTTCCGTCTGTTTTTTTTTTTTATTCTTATGCAAAGGGATTTGTCGCTTATGCGATTATGATGCCCTGGTAGGATTAATAAAAAATATTATATTGAAATTTGTCATTGGTCATAGCTATAGTACATTCAATTATTATTTCAATAATAATCTTTTATACTAATCTTGTATACAAATTAAATAATAATAAAAGGAAAGAAAAGAAAATTATTAATGAAATTATTAATGAAAGAAAAAGAAAACAAAATGCATTTACTTGCCAGAACATGTGCACACATATTAAATTTAAATAATGTGCAAAATAACAGGGAAATAACTGGAAATATAATAAACAATAAATACACGACTACTTGTAATAATATTACAATTGCATATGCTTAGATTCCAAGATTCAAGAATATACCCATTCCTAACTTTAATACCATTTTAAGCAACAGATTAACATATAAAATGTATTACGCATATTCAGAGCAATTCCAGACTATAAACGCTATAAGCCTGAACTGTTCTTATTCCCGTAACCACGTTCCCGTTCATTTTCAGTCAATTTAATCGAGAAACTCGGTAGAAGCACATTTTATATTTACAGGGAAGCAACAAGAATAGAAAATGTTCCGTTTAAGTGCCTGGGTGATATCGTGCTCTATTGTGATTCGATACAATTTCTACTGTCAATAAATACGCCACAATAGAAATTTCTAAGTATTTCAGTCAATTCTGAGTGTTGCGATGTAATTTTTTTATTAATATAATAATTATGTAAAAACTTCGTAGTGCCACGCTGCAGCTATATTAGTTGTAGCACGAATGGGTCGGCTCGACCGGGGGAGGACCACACTCTCAGAGAATACTGGCGTAAACTAGCAGTTTAAGCCTGCAGTTTCGTATGTTTAGTATAGAGAACCAGAGACATTTTTTACTGGATACGAGGCATTCCATCTTAGTCCTCAGGGTGACAACGCATCTGCATTTTAATCCTTAATCGAGGATCAGGTTAGACTGTGTGCTCATTTGTCACCCTTATTTTATAAAAAAATGTCCTCCAGACTGAATTTGGGTTACGGCGGCCAGTCTCAACAGAGACTAGCCATCTGCACGTACAGGATTATAGTGGATGAATGTATGCGCAAGCACAGGTGCACTCCTTATTTCCTCACTCCACTACTGGTCTCTACACGGGAAATGGTCAATGATATTTAACTACCGAAATAACATGGAATTGACCGCAGTACAAATTAATATCGTATTCGATAAAAATATTTAATAATTTAGCCAGCATCGCTTTAATTTCCGCATCGAACGAGTTCCAACTGTGTAGGAAATTAAATTCGGACGATAAATAGAAATTGACAGGTTATTCCTGGCATTTCCTGCAGTCGTCTCTCACGAGTACGACACCAGCGGACCGATATGGGCAGACGGGTTCTTACTACGCCAAACGGAAAAACCTTATGGCTTCCAATACAGCAGGATTACAACGGGAGAGGCAGAGTCCAAGAGATTTGTACCTGTTGATGATGATGATATAAAAGAAGAATATGTTATTGTTTATTTCACGAAATGGGCATACTAACTCACTACGCCAATCTGCTTAATGTTTTTAATTAATAAGTATTTTCTCTGTAAGTGATTTGTAAATCTTTTGAGAAAATAAATGTCTTAAACCATAGATGCGTCGTCACCCCTGAGGACTAAGATGAAATGCTGCTTACCAGTACAAAAGGTCTCCGGTTATCTACAGTTATCATACGAAACATAGCAGCATTATACTCCTGTTCGACGCTGGTATTCTGTGAGAACGTGGTCTTTTCTCGGTCAAGCCGACCCATTCGTACTACAACCATGTTATAGTTAAAGCTTACCAAGTTAGTAAAATTGTTATTAAAAGTGAAATGTTTGATGCTGCAAATTTGCGGAAAACAATAACCAAATTAAATTTAAAAAAGGAATAAAAAAAACTATAAAGTTCAGTTTATATACATCGTACTGCTGGGCCCGGGACTACCTACATTTCTGAGAAGGTTAAATAGCAAGGAAATGTTCGCCTACCACAATATATGTTGGCGGACTTCACATGTCATTTCGCAAACACACAGGTTAGCGACGTTTTCCATCATCTAAAATTACAGTTTCATTGGTTTCTATGGGATCATAAAAAGATGAGAAGGTGATATATATACCCTGGCGAATTACTAGGGTTCTAGGCCCTAACAAAACTAATAAATAATTATTGTTCCAGGACGGGACATTCTCCCTAGCCGACTTTACTGACGCCTACCAAGAGAATGAGGTACAGCGCGTGATCCGCGCCTACGAGAACTCCATCTCCATTGATATACACTGCTCGACCGGCGGCGGTGGCGAGTGGACCAAACTCCCAGAAATGCCATTCGTCAAACACTGCAAGATTAGGGTCAACCCTACAGACATACTCGACTCCGGCTCCCAAGCCATCAAGGACTTTATCAGTAAGTACTTCTTATTTTTCTATATACCTGTGGCGGCGCTGTCGTCACGCCACAAGCGAAACACATCGAAGCCTAAATCGCGCTAACAAAGTTCCGAAGTTAAATTTTCTATATATATAGAATAGCTCTGAACTACCACTCGGAGCGTTGGCCGCTCCCCGGGTAGAACACCTTGCCCGGCGGGAGATCTCCCCATTTCCTTCCACCGGCTACATACCTAAACACGACTTTCTCTTCTCAGTGTATTGAATTTCGACATTAAAACTTGTTTACCATGATTGGGACTGGCCAATCAGAAAACTCCAATAGGATAAGTGTGACAAACGAGCACACAGTCCACCTATCCTGGATTGAAGATCAAAATGCAGATGCGCTGTCACCCCTGAGAACTAAGATGGAATGCCTCATTTCCAGTGAAAAAGGTCTACGGTTCTCTACACTCACCATACGAAACACAGCAACATTAAGCTGCTATTTCACTCGGGTATTCTGTGAGAGCGTGGTCCTTCCCAGTCCAGCCGACCCATTCGTGCTACATACTATGATATAGCTGCAATATGTCTCTACCACGTAAAACGTGGTACTGCGATCGACAATTCTCCCGTCAAGCGTGTAGATGAAAGCAAATCCTTCCCACAACAGAGACATGTCCAGCAGTGGACAGAAGAAAAAGTAGAAAAAGAAGAATATTTAATAGGTTTATTAGATAGAAATGTATTAGAGTTACTGCGATGTATCGAATATGTCGATATATTGAAGTATGCACCACGTGATAGCAGTCTCTCGACTCCACAGAGTCAGTAATTCATTCTTGGGGCAATGTATACGCTATTACAACAAAGTCCCAGAAAATGTACAAGCTCTCTCTATTACAAAGTTTAAATATTTAACTAAACAAAAACTGTATAAAAAGGGTTATATTGTAATATAAATGAATACGTGGTTGATAGTAACCCCTGGGAATGAGGTGGTCGCTTCCAAGCAGTTTCTAAAATAAATTTTGTAAATAGTTCGTAATCATTTATATTGTAAAATTTATTTTAAAAAGGTCCGCGGGGTTTCTTGCTGGTTCTTACCAGGACAAAGGATTTTTTCGAACCAGTGGTAATATAAAAAAATGACTTTCAATAAGAATTACTTGTAATCAATATTGAATAAAAATTATTCTATTCTATTCTATTCTACATGTATTTCAAGATATTAGGTTTTTTAGTTATTAAATTTATGTAAATATTATATTGTGAGATTTTAGACCCGGAGTATCCACCGTCTTTTGTTCTGCGTAATATTAAAGACAAACTCTAAATCACAGTTTAACTGACCCTGGTCAACCATGACCGCTTATACTTTATAGCAGTTAGGGCCTCAATTAAAGATTAATACTACATCATTGCCATCACTGATAGTATGAAATCTTAATATATAAAATTCTCGTGTCGTGGTGTTTGTTACCAAACTCCTCCGAAACGGCTGAACCGATTTGTATGAAATTTTGTGTGCATATCGGGTAGGTCTGGGAATCGGCCAACATCTATTTTTTGTATTTATTTTATTATGATTTAACATTGAAAGATACATAAAACTTCAAATTTTCACCCTTCTACGATCAACCCCTGTTTTTTAATCGCGATTTTTAAAACCAAGAAATATTTCCTAGAAAAAATGTATATGGCAAAACAACGTTTACCGGATCAACTAGTAATCTATAAAAATAGTTTAAATATAGAATAAGGGTTTAATTTGCTATTGATATTAAGGGCCTTATTATTTTTCATGTTATCCTATACGAACAGCTTTACATCAAACTTCACAAAACAAAAACTTGTGTGGGAAATCGCCGACTCAATATTAAGGCGAGGATTTCCTACGTGAAAAGGGTTTTAACGCTCCCTTCTCCGCTACATACATATTTGTCTAGCACGAAGCAAGCATGCGACGTTCGGTGGAAAAAAGTTACTAAATTCGACACGTTTTTCGCTCATTAACAGGTAATAAAGGTTCTAAATAGAAATGTAGTCGATAAAGTATTTAATTTAATATCATGCCTCTCATTTTATCCAAAAATATTATATAGTTATCGCTTAAAACAACGAGAACTTGAACACTTTTCTGAGCCATTAAATTATAACTTTTTTATTTCGATTTACATAAAGTATTTTTTTTTTAAAACTATTCGATAATTAATTTAATTAAGTGTTTCATATATGTGCTTAAAAATCGTCGAAATTCTATCTAAAATACGATATTTTTATCCAACGTGGCCTTAATATCCTATTATATACTACCAACATCGAATACTACATCGGCAACAGGACTGGTGTTCTTCCGGGACAGAAGTTTTTGAAATAAATAATCTTGTAATATATCGATACACACGTCTGTATGAACACGCCTCACGCAAAAACCTGTGAACCGATTTGGATGTGTCTTTCACTGGCAGATAGCTGATGTTATAAGGAGTAACTTAGACTATTTTTATTTTAGGAAAATAATTAGAGTTCCCTACAAATAATTAAAAACCATGAAAACCAATCGCAATAAATTCCATGCGAGCGAAGTTGCGGCGGAACAGCCAGTGTTGAATAAAAATTATTTTATTTTATTGTAAGCTATATACAACAACAAGAATAACTGAATGGTCGTACGGTACTTAAATAATCGCGATAATAATTGGAAGACAATTTTCCCATAGATATGCTAAGTCTATGAATTTTCCAGAGCATAAATACTCCAGAGTATACTTGTCCGTGTACTTCATAATGACCCCTATTTCGTTTAAGAAAATAAACAATGAAAAAGTAGGTCCCAGTTTGTCCCGAGGCAGCATTATTAAAACTGTTTCAATATTCAAAAAGCGCTAATGACGCAATCTGTGTAGAAATGTGGGGCATAGTGTTCATAGGATATTTTTTTATATAGCAAAAGAGTGACACACGAGCACACAGTCTCGATTAAGAATCAAAATCCAGTGGGTTGTCAACACTAATGACTAAGATGGAATGCGTCGTTTTTAGTAAAAACAGGAGACCCTTTTTTACTACACACGCACACGAAACACAACAGTATTCTGTGAGAGCGTGGCCCTTCCGAAGTCGAGCCGACCTATTGGTGCTACCATAATATAGCTGCAGTTTGGCTCTGCCACGTTAATGATATAAGACGTAGTAGAGCCACGTTAAAGCAAATTAGGCTTGCAGCAGTATTGGGTCGCACGACCGGAGAAGAACAACGCTCTCACAGAATACCAGCGTGAAATAGCAGCTTAATATTAATATTAATGTGCTCCAGTCCCAATTTCGGTCACAGGGTTATAGTCCTCACTGTCATAGTCCAAAGGGACGATAATGCGACATGAGCGAAGAGAGATCAGGCGCAGGACCAACGGCTTTACGTTCTTACCAAGGTATGGGGTGAAATACCGCACTTCCGGACTCCGGGTTCCTACTGGGAATTTCTTAATAACCTCTTCTCAATTTTTTTGGTCCGATCCGAAACTTGAACCCGGGATCTCATGACCGGCAGCCGCTTTTACGACCACTGGAAGTATAATACTGATAACCAATCGCAAGTTTTTTTTTAACGTGACAGAGCCATGCTGCAGCTATATTAGTAGTATAGTCGTAACACGAACGGGTCGGCTCGACCGGTAAAGGACCACGCTCTCACAGCGTAAAATAGCAGCTTAACACTGCTGTGTTTCGTATGGTGAGTGTACAAAATCGGAGACCCTTTTTACTGGAAAATAGACATTCCATCTTAGTCCTCATGGGTGACTACGCATCTGCATTTTGATTCGCAAACGAAGATAGATGTAGATGTCTATAGGCCACAGCAACCACTTACCATCAGGTGGACTGTGTGCTCTTTTGTCACCCTACCCTATATAAAAAAGTGCATCGCCAGTTTGGTGAATAAGCAATCACAATTGCCTTTGATATTATTCTCTGTTACCTTCATTGTTTGAAGTTTGCTGCAGATGTCTATGGGTTGCTGTAGCCAATTACCATCAGGCGGAATGTAACTTCGTTCGTCACTTCAGTTTTAGTAAAAAAAAAGGATATAACTAGGCAAGAGATTAGAGCCATGCTGCAGCTATATTAGTAGTATAGTTGTAGCACGAATGGGTCGGCTCGACCGGGGAAGGACCACGCTCTCACAGAATACCAGCGTCAGATAGCAGCTTCATGCTGCTGTGTTTCTTATGGTGAGTGTAGAGAACCGGAGACCCTTTGTACTGGAAAAGAGGCATTCTATCTTAGTCCTCACGGGTGACAACGCATCTGCATTTTGATTCGCAAACGAGGAAAAATGTAGATGTCTATGAGTCACAGCAACCACTTACCATCAGGTGGACTGTGTGCTCGTTTGTCACCCTATCCTATAAAAAAAAATATTAATAATTTTAGTAGGTTATTAGTAGACATCGGATTATATGCACTAACAAAGTTCCAAAATATGCACGCAAATATTCACTAAAAAGGCCGAAATATACACTTAAAACTGTTGATATGCCCAAAATATGCTCGATGCAAAATTAAAAAACTATTATTATTATAAAAACAATAATAGTTTTTTCAATTAAAGACGGTACAAAAACAGCGAAATGTTCTTAAAAATTATGTATAGTTTTTATGACAATATACAATAAAGGATTTTTCCAAATTTTCGAACGCTTGTCACCTAGTATGAATTTGTACGCCTAAAATGACCTCTCTACATCAACTGACGTCATTGGACAAAATTTAAAACTCGGCCAGTCAGTTTAGTCAGCCAGTGACACGTCTTCATCACCTAGGTCCCTATACGTAATTCCTGCTACTAAACGAATTTTTTTTGGTTGGGAAAAAGGGCTAAGATATGCATAAACGCCGTAATAAGAATTACATGTATTTGCATATGCAAATATGCAACTGCACAAAATCCGATGTCTAGTTATTAGTTTAAAAAAAAAACTATTCGTTTTTTTTTTGTTTGGCAGTTGTATTAGGATATAGATTTTA